TTGGATAATACATTCATCATTAATATATATTTTCAGCCATACAAGCATACCATCAATTGTCCAGTGGAATATATTCATTCGCGTTACACAATCTACAATAAAAATCAAAAAGCAAGCAGAAGGCCAGCAGTTTCGTTCTAACTGCTGAGTATCGCAGAGACTTACGAAAGTTAGCACAGTTATAAACCCAGAAGGTAAAGTAGTAATAAATAATCAAGAATAAACGAAATATAACACTGCTATGAAAATCATTTTCAATAAAAACTTTTATTTACTTGCGGGCTTTCGATGCCTTTCTAACATCAACTTCAGGCTAGCTAAAATGAAACATTCACAAGATTTATATACGAAAAGACTAAGCTAACTATTCTTTCTTGCTTGTTCTCGAAAAGCATCCCTACAAAAAAATGTTTATCGGCACTGGTTGTGCATGGATGCGCACCGGTGCCGAAGTTTTGTTTTCAATCACCATTTTATTTTGTCAATTTCTGTCTATAGTAACAACACAGTCTACTTCGAATATTTCGAATTTCTTTCTGACTTCATCTTTTCCTTCTCATAAGAGAAGTGCCGAGGCAATGCCGCATGGTTTTGGCATGTTAATGCCGTACTGATCAGTGTCGCATTCTAATACAAAATTCAGCATAAACAACTATAATAAAAAAATAATTAAACTGATTAAATAAATTTCAGTGTGGCACTGATTTTTACCAGTGCGGTATTTTTTGGGCAGAAATGTATCGGCACTGGTTCGGCACTTGCTGGGCACGGGTGCGCACCGGTGCCAGCCAGTGCCGCCACGTGCACCGGTGAGCACTGATAGTGCCGCACTGGAATTTTTTTTATAGGAATATTCTTTTCCTTTTCTATTTCATATGTACATTCAATGACACTAAAGATCAACTTCAAGTTTTCGGATGATACTGTACTCTATGAGTACAAGTTTTTCGGCCGATATTTATTCATATGATGAACATGAGGAAAAAGAACAAACATGCTTTTCGAGAACAAGCAAGAAAGAATAGTTAGCTTAGTCTTTTCGTATATAAATCTTGTGAATGTTTCATTTTAGCTAGCCTGAAGCTGATGTCAGAAAGGCATCGAAAGCTCGCAGGTAAATAAAAGTTTTCATTGAAAATGATTTTCATAGCAGCGTTATATTTCTTTTATTCTTGATTAACACAGTTAGATAAGCCGTAAACAAAGTGAATTCAACTCTTCTGCAGACGTAAGTTGCTAATTGTTCTCCTTAGAAAATAAATAATCCTGACTATTACGCTCCCTGTCAGTTTCCCGATGACTTCATATCCGAATCGGTTCACTTTAGAATGAGAGCAAACCATGAATGTTAGAACAGAAGTTTTTTACAGAAACGGAAGAATAGTGTGGTGTTGCTGTCAGTTTAGTATTAAGCAAGGTTGAAGGTACTTCTACGGGAAGTCATCTGCATTGTTCTGAACTTCGAAGAATTTGAAACGCTAAGAAAATAACGAGAAATCATTTTTATTTCGTGATCTCCAAGACAGTAAGAAAAAAGTCGTCTTTCTATCAGACAATCACCGAGTCTCTTGGCATGCCGAAAAAAAGTCCAGTAAGATATGAACCGCCAAATTCGATTCTAACTCCTCAAAAACGACGTACAAGGCAATATAATCATCATAACATCGCTCTTTAACCTGGTCTACAATAAAGATCAAATCCCCTCATCAATTTTTAAAATACATTTTTCCGTATGTCAATAAACCCCTTAGTTAAGAGAATTGCCGCATAGTTTTTTCAGAGAGAAAAATCCTGTTGGGTTTATTAAAAGACCAAAAAGGGTTTACGAAAAAACTCATGAATTTTCCATTCAAAGTGTGACAACCTCAGGGTTTACTAATCCAACTCCGATACTTTTTTGGGTTTATAAAAAACGCTTTTTTAGAATTCTGAAGAGCATGTTCTGAGACCCCAGGGTATTTCCATGGATGGTATTCCATTATTACACGAAGGTGTGGCGCAAATGTGGAGACATACCTCATCCGATAGAGAATTCAATTATGAACAAGAATATCATATTTAAAAACTTTTTAAACGTTGACGCGGAGTCTAAAAATCGGTCGAAAGATGGGATTTTTACGTATTTCATCGTGTTTTTGAAAGCAGAGTTTTTCAAAAAGTATTAGAGTTGAACAGACGAAACTTTCAAGATATAAACTAGAAATCACGAGGAACAAAAAGCTCTCTTGGAACAAAATTCCAGAGTGCTTAAGTATTGTACCGCGCTCATCGTAAAATAGTATAAAAATGCAAAAACAAGGTGATGTTGAAATGAAGTTTTCTCCATGAAGGTAAAGCCAAAACTCAAAACAAACTAGTGGATTGAATTCTTCATCATCTGATTCACAAGAAAATGTAGTTTTCATTCTTCTAGGTCACTTAAAGAAGCCTGCTGAGAACTATCTTTGAAACCAAAAACACAATTTTTTCCGTTTTTGCCAGTTTTGTGTCGTATTTTTTATTTAAACGGGCTATTATAGATCGTCGCGGTTGCTATTTTTGAATTCTACGCATGCGAAAGCATATGAATCAGTCAAAATTCTAATCTATAGTTTTTCCTTCCCGACTTATAGCCATTTTAACTTGAGTGCATATGACACCGATTCGGTCAGGTTAGAACGAGAGAAGTCTCTAGCAGAGATGAGCGAGTACGAGTATACTCAAGTACAAAATTTTCAGTACTCGTACTTGAGACTTTTTTTTTACGAGTACTTAAAAATGTACTCGAGTATTTTCGAGTACTTGAAATTTTTTAACATAGAATAACCTATAATTAAAATAACTTTTTTCTTGAGTATTTTCTTCTTTTAAAAATTTTCGTACAGTACTCGAGTACCTCTTTAGAAAATACTCGTACTCCAGAATCTGCGTACTCGCCCATCTCTGGTCCCTAAGAATTCAACTAATTAGTGCCAAACTCACAGGTTATCGCCAATTTTAGATAGTGAGTAATAGCTTGCTGGAATAAATTATTTTTTTTAAGATACAGAAAGTAAACGAATTATGTTCTATGCGTTATAGTAGACCTACCATTATGACTATCTTTTGAAGGACAAAATTTGACCTGACCTGAAATTAATTTTTCTCGTTTCAACTGCTGCCAGTACTTTCAAACTGCTGTCAGTACTGTCAAACTGCTGCCAGTACTTTCAAACTGCTGCCAGTACTTTCAAACTGCTGTCAGTACTGTCAAACTGCTGCCAGTACTTTCAAACTGTTGCCAATTAATTTCTTTCACTAATAAATGCATTGAACGTGTATCGATAAAAGGTAAGAGAAATTGTATGTGATACAATATTGTGGCTAAGTATATTTAATATAATTGAAAAACATTTTTGTAAAATCATTTTACACAAAAAGCGAGCTTTCGATACTTCACAGTATCATCATCAGGCTAATATGACTGTGAATTTAGAAGTCAACAATATTTACAAGAAACGTACAAAAGTCAAAGAATGTCAACAATATTGTGGATTTAATTTTTTATTTTTTTCGATTCACAATCTATTTCAAACGTTATCGTTTGTCGCACCCATCGCTAAGCAAGAGAAACTGCCAGTTCTTCATTCACTATCATTCAGGAGCGTCTATCCTGTGGGACGTTTGAGGCACAATGCCTCAAACAAAAGTAAGATGGAACGCTTTTTTTTGTAGAAATTCATTTCTCAGGTGGTACACTGAGAGATCGACCCTCCGAGGTGGTACAAAATGCCTCAAACGTTCAGGTGGGCATAGACGCCGCTGTTATCATCAAGACAACTTTTCAACTTGTGTAAATAAGTAAGTTCATAAACTGAATTGAAACAGATTTTATTGACATACAGTATACAGTATATTCTATTTATAAATGCGATTGCTATATACAAAAATTGACGGCCAAACGAATAAAACAAAATTTATAGAGAAAAGAAAAAAACTGTAATCGAGAGTTTAATTAACTTAGGACTAACTTTTTGAAGAAAATAATCAGTGGGGAGAACACATGCTTAGTAAATTGGATATTTAGCTTCACGCACAATTACTAAACAGAATTTATAGATGGAATTTCAGGTTATTATTTCTAATAGGTAGAATTTTCAGAAGAAAAAGCATAACAACAGCAGCAGTGTGAATCATTTTATTTTATTTTTAAAATTCCGACGTTTCGATTTATTAAAAAATCATTATCAAGTTGATAATGATTTTTTAATAAATCGAAACGTCGGAATTTTAAAAATAAAATAAAATGATTCACACTGCTGCTGTTGTTATGCTTTTTCTTCGGAATTTCAGGTCTTAAGCACTCAGAACTTTCAACATCTTGCTCAATCTTTTAGTATTTTTAATAGTTTACTACTAATAAATGTTTGTTTTGCTTCTTTTTAGATGAAAAATCATTAAATTTTCTTGTTCCCTAAAAGTATATGTAAAAAGTCGCTGTTATAATAATGAATAATAATATATGTCGTCGTACGTGTTCAATAAAAACGTTGTAATCATCCATCATTTTTCTTTAGGCACTGGTGTTTATTTGTTTGATTAGTTCTTTTGCTTCTTGGTTTGTAAATCAGGATATCCAACTGATACTTTGAGTAAATAATATGTTTAGCTTACTGTCTCAAACAAACAAGAAATTGAATAAGAGTAATCACCTTCGCAGTCGGTTTTCAATTTATCAAGTTTTGGTATATAGTTCTTTGTCTAAAAAAATCTACAATTTTGCACTATATTTTCAACAAATTTTCGTATCCATCATTATTAAATTATTATATTTGTGAAAATTAAGTATTTCTTTTACACAGGCAAGTATGAGAAATCTATTTGTATCGTACATACAAACGTAAGAAAATTTAGATAAACAAAAAGAAACAAAAGTAATACACATAGGCACACGCATAAATAGGTTTGATTATTACTGACAAATAACAAGAAAAAAAGAAGATAAAGAATTGCTAAATTCAAAAGGGAGCTGTTTTTATTTTCTACAGTTGATAAGGAGGTAGTTCACTATTTTCGATTGATAATAGCACGTTTTCTGGATCAAGTACAGGCGTAACACCACTTGTACGTACTTGATTCTTAGAAGTTGGTAGATTTAATGAATTATTTTCACCATCATATTTACGATAACGTACACCATCATTATTTTTATTTTCTTGTTGTTGTTGTGCACGAATTGGAGATAAATTATCATTAATCATTATAGATGGACCTTCAACACGATGAATAGCATTAGCAATTTTTGTTATATGCTCATTGATATTAATTTGAATCGGTGTACGAGATACACCTACAAACAAAATGAAACATTACAAAATAACTTTTACGCATCACTTTTGCGAATTAATAAAGAATTAATAAATGTTCAAATGAGAAAAATTTATAGCAAATTGTTTATTGTTCTTACCATCGGTTGGTGAACGTGGATCTGTTTGTAATTGAACAAGACGGTTAGGTTGTTTTGGTGGTGTTTGAACAACATGACCAATAAGGTTAGTATTTTTTTCCGATTGTAAACGTTTCGCATTATTAGCACCCATAACAAATTCTTTTTTCTGTATGTACGATAAATAATCTAAAAAACAATAAAGGAGAAAAATTCAAGTTTTTTGCTTGGAAAGAAAATGTTGAGTTAGTAGTGGAATACGAGACGAAAGTTTTACTGGTATAGGTACAAAAAATTCAAATTTCTCCATCTCAAAATTAAGGTGTGTCGTTTATATTCATACTATAGATAACTGAATTTACTGCTCATTCAATTTCAAAACATCATTGAAAAGTACTGATAAAAAAACATATCTACGAAAACTATTGTATAGCCATGCCAACTTATCTGAAAGAAAACACGTAAGAATAGAAATAATTAGTTTATTCTGCATCTGAGCACAGATCGCGCTTGTACCTCTATAAAAAAAACTCATCATCTAAATATTAATGCCACTTCGAGTATATATTACTCTTAGTATGTAAGTTACTTAAAACTTCATTTAGACAAACCGTCAGTTGCTGAAAATATTTTATACAGAACAGAAACATACACAAAGAGATAGAGATGGAACTAGTAGCAACTATATAAGTCGCTGTTGTCTCTCATATATTGGATTTATCTAGCGGAATGAAATAAACGAAAAATATGATAAAATTGAATGAACTTTTGATGTAGTTAACTTTCGAGACTGCTTTTGATAATATGTTAGTGTACAGTATTTCCACTAACAATAAAATTTATTTTCATCATAAAGGCAGTCAATGTTTGACCATGGCAGCTCTTCTATTATCATTGGTTGGACATGGAACCATCTCTCTAAATGCGACGTTCGTTCTCTCTTTATTTGCTGCGCGTGCTTCTATGATTCCTTGCTTTCTTCTTTCTTAAAAATGTTGTCCTTGTTATCTAATTTGTATATGATAAAAATAAGATGAATATGTGAAATAAACGTGTCTATCCTTTTTTAATCTTAAATTTAAAAAATTCTTATAAGGAGATTTTATCCAATTACGCAGTTCGTTACAAATTTAATTTCTGTCTGCTGATGGTCATCACCGTTAATTCTTTAACTTTCAAATTATTTAGATTATATCTAAGGATCAAATCCATTCAAATAATGTAGAGATTGAATCAGATGTAGACTTGTGGATAGATATTCATAAAATTTAGATAAATATTGCAGGCGAACCGAGCAATTTTAGTTCTATAATGGCAACTAATGGCGGTCTTCTGATTAGATTTTTGAAAATGAAACGACGTTGTTGAGAATTATTGTTGATTTGCGACCGTTTTCTTTTTTATCGTGATATTGTAGATGTCGAGATATTTTACCTTTCGGATCGAACATTTTTTTTCAAAATAAATAGTCTCGTTCTATGTTTTTTGAACTCGTGTATGTAAATTTAATGTCGTAATTTTGCGAAATGCGAAATATTTTTCTCATTATATACTTTTACTTTAGATATTATTTCTTTATGTTGCCATGAGTTCTAAATCAAGACCAAGATGCTTTTTTGATATTAAAATCGATGACAAAGAAGGTACCAAATACGTTTGCTAATATAGAATTGTTTTTCTAATCGTTCCGTATTTTTCTAGTTGGTCGTATTATATTCGAATTATTTAGTGATAAATGTCCAAAGACATGCGAGAATTTTCGATCATTATGTACTGGTACGTGTTAACTTAAAGTCTGAACTGTTACCGCTTTTGCTTGTGTGAAATAAACAAAGCTCGTAAAGAAATCTAATTAACCGTATAATTTATGCTACTGTTTTTTTCTTTTTGTTTAGGTGAATCTGGTCGTGGTTCAACAACACATAAAAAGTTACATTACAAAGGATGTTGTTTTCACCGTGTTGTCAAAGATTTTATGATACAAGGCGGAGATTTTTTAGAGGGTATACTTCATATAAAACCAGAACAGCAAAACTCTTCTTGTCTTCATTTTCTATTTCGTTGATAAAATCTCCTCCCTTTGCTATTTTTCTTGTTGAATGATGTGTTGTGTGTTTAAAACTGCGCGTCTTATTTTAGAGTTTATTCTCTCACATATCAAATTTACTGAAATGCTGATGATACATCACACATCTTTAAACCATCATCATCATCAATAGAAACACATGACGTTTAACATGTGTTTGTGTGTGTGTGTATCTGTACGTGCTAAAAATCGTTTAGCCGAGCACAAATGTGAAAAGATATTTATGGATATTGTTGTTGTTGTCCTCCTTTTACAGACAGACAGAAAAAATCTTTTCATCATCCAGGTGTTGTGTTAACCATTGTTGAGTTTTTTGTAGGTAATGGAACAGGTGGAGAATCAATTTATGGCGGATATTTCCCCGGTAAGTTATACAAATACGATGTTTTCTACTTAATTGTGCTGATAGAAAAGGGCTGAATAGAATTTTTGTATATAGCAGTTGAGCGTGATAGATAATTTGATAACTTTGAATCGATAATGTTAGTTATTTAACAGTTATTTGTTTTATTTTTCTTTTAGATGAAAACCTTGAAATAAAACATGATTGTCCCTACTTGTTATCGATGGCTAATCGGGGCCGAGACATGAATGGAAGTCAATTTTTCATGTAAGCAACACTTTTACTAAAACCTTTTTAAAAATAACCTTTTTATTTTTCATTTTAGTACAACAGCTCCAGCACCTCATTTAGATGGGTATAGTGAGAAAAAGGCTATTGATTCTGATAAAATGCTAGTTATGTCATTTTAGTCTACATGTTGCATTTGGTCAAGTGATCAATGGTCAAAATGTCATAAAAGAAATTGAAAATTTACCCACTGATGCAAATAGTCGGCCAAAATCAAATGTGACGATTTCACATGCTGGTGAACTTGTATTAGTCAAAAGTAAGATGTTTATTGACTTTCTCAAATACATGTCAACACTAAAACACATGGTTCACGTCTGAATCGTGCGTATGGTTCTTTCCATATTATGTTTCAACAAGTGTGTTAAAATATAATACCCCAATCGTTTTTAGCAAAATTATAATTTGTCTCTTTTCAGAAAATGAAAAATCTAAAAAACGTAAAAAGCACACCGACGAAAATGAAGATCATCGAAGTCGCTCAGATTCAAGTTCAAGTTCATCATCAAGTTCAACGACGGCAAGTGAGACAAGTGTCGATGAATCAGCGACAACGACAGCAGCAGCCGCTTCAGAAATGAATGATTTAGAAGATGACGGTGATAAAAATGGTGAGGTGCAATCAAAAACGAAAAAAGAAAAGAAAAAATTAAGCAAAAAGAAGAAAAAGAAGGAAAAACATCGCAAAAAAAAGAAGCATGCAAAAAAATTAGCTAAATTAGCAAAACTTAGCGAACAACAAGATGACCACGAAGGAGAAGAAGATCCTGTGCAAGAACAAGAAAATAGAAAGTAGGTAAAAATCGAAGTGATTACTGGTACTCAAACAAAGGTTTTATTTCTCTTAGCAACACATCAGACGAAAACGAAGTTTCTGGACGTGAAATGATGGGACTGAAAACGTCGGTCGATCCAGAAGAAATACCTGTACAAAAACTTTTATTAAGAAATGTGAATGATGGGCTAACACAACAGCAAAATCAAAATGATCAGGATAAACAGACATCTTACAATGATACAAATCAGAGGTGGGAAAATCTGTTACGAAATAAAACTTTCAGAGTTTCCATGAGAGACCTCCGCGTATACACCGGAAAATAGATATCATAGCCTTTAAAGATTTAGAGTTTCGCTAGTCAATCGTTTTTCACGTTGTCATGTTATCTTTTATGTTTTTGTATTTTTCAGGCAAACTCGCAATCAACATTATGATCGTGTATATCAAAAAAAAGATGCAAATGGTAGACCCGTGAAAGGTCGTGGAAATTTGGTACATATTCGTTTGACATTGTAAAAGTCTTTGTTTAATTTTACTTTTTTTTGTTGAAGCGCTACACTGGCCGAAATCATTCTCGCTCTGTTACTCCACCTCACTGGCGTTCGGCATTACGCGATCGTGAGCATCTTGAAGAGAGAAAAAATGAAATGATTACAAGTGCAAATAATGCGACTATTGATTCGCAAGAAAGCGGGTAAGGTTAAAAAATGATAAATAATCTGATACTTTCTTCAGTGTATTTTCTATATTTAGAAATGGCAAATCCAACGACATGTCTGATGACCGTAACCAAAGTCTAAAACGCTCTTATTCTCGTGTGAATAATGAGGATGAGCCACAACCACAACAACTGTCGCTTGAGAATGAAGAAAATGAAAAGGAAATGGAAGATAATTCAGGTAAACGTTCAAAACGTTATAATGCGACCGAAACCCATGATAAAATTCCACAAAAACATTCAATTCCGAGTGTTATTCGCCGAACATCACAAGAAAAGTCTCCGACAAGGCAATCACATCACGATCAACAGCAACATTATCGAAGTGAGAGAGGAGACAGAGATGGACACTATCATCGAACAACATCACGACACGGAGATGATAAATCAACGAACGAGAACAATAACACAAGAAATCCAAAGCACAGTGAAGAAAATCAGATGGAAAACAATAAAGAACATGGTGAGTCTTCTATCTTAGAAATGATCAACATAAAATGTATTTCAAAAATTCTTTACAATACACTTAATTTTTGCATATACTTCCTATATCCGAGAGTCTGTGCATTAGCGCGCATAAGGGCTTCGTCAACAATAATGATAAAAGGTTACCGTTATGTTAAAAGTCTCAAACTTTTCATCGAGGTAAACTTCGGTAATATCTTTTTTTACTGTTATCGCTTATCTCTAGTCGGCAATAATTCTGCTCTATTCGACCATAATCTCGATAGAACAACTAATTGTCATTTATTAACAGCTATATTCCTAACAACGATTGTCGTTTTCTTTTTATAGCTTCAACAACAACCTCGACAAATATAGATACAGAATTATCAAATATGGCTAAAAGCCAACATCCATCATCTTCAACAAATTCTCGCCGTTCTCGTTCTAATTCACCTTCTACCATCGATCATCGGCGAACGGATTCGTCGCGTGGAACGAGAGATGATCAGTACCAACGAAAAGACTCTTCTTATCGTCATCGCTGGGATTCTAAAGGAGATCAGAATCATTCAGGTAGTACTAGTAATAACCGAAGAGATTCCGATCGTCAATATCGTTCATCGCATCGGAGTAATCGTGATCGAGAGCGAGATCGTGATTCACCAAGCAGAACAAATCGTTCACCTTATCATTCATCGTCTCGTCACTACACCGAACATCGTCGAACACCGTCACCGTCGAAAAATGAACATCGACTTAAACCAACAGAAAATAAATCACCAACAAAACAGCAACACCAAGAACAAGTAAGAGACAAATTCAATATCACTGATCTCCTATGTGCTCGTTCATTGAAAGAGTATGGACGCTAAAAAAGTTAGAGAAGTTTTGACTATAAAAACTTGTTAGAATATTGATTGATGATACAAATAAATCCGTCACTCATTTTTCTAAGTAGGGCCAAGAGAATGCTATTACACATACAATTATATAATTTGACCTCGCTACTTATGTGTAATAAAAGGAAAGATTTTTGGTTACTAGTTCTTTGTTTATTTGTTTGTAGGACGAACCGACAATAAACGTAATTTCTGACCATAATACCTCTATACCATATAGTGGAAATATCCCATCTGACTCATCACGTGATGATGTTTCAACAATCATAGCAGCATTACGAGAAGTGGTTCATCAACCTCCCCCTCCACCTCCTCCTCCACCATCTACTCAAGCTGCTCCAAATCTACACATTTCCACACAACATGCGACAACAAAAACTCGAAGTCGTTGGGAGAATGCCGATGATTTTACAATTCGTCAGAGTGTTGCAAATCCAACAGTCTCGGCCAATGTTGCTGCTCACCATACGTCTGGGAATGAAATGTCACTTGAAGATGAATTAAGAATGATTGCAAAATCTTCAGGTAGCTCAGCGCCTGCATCTATCGTTAATGATCTATACAATGAAATACAACAGCAACCAATCTATCATGAGGATATTCAATCCGAATATACTGAACGAGAACAATCTAAGCAAGAGCAAGAAAATCCTATTGAATCACAAGCTAAAAGTCCTCCACATTCCACGACGAAATCAAAATGGGATGATGATGAACAGGAGAACGATAGTAAAATGGAAGTTCAAGAACAGCACTCACGAGTTGGAGAAAAAATACAACAACAGTATGAGCAGAATATGCGTGCAAAATCACCGCAAAAACTTGGAAAACAGAAAATAATCGATTCCAATGATGGCGACTTGAAGGATAAAAACAAACACGAAAAACCAGACATTTCTGAGAAAAGTGAACCAACATCTAAACGGTAGATCTTACGTCGTTAAAAGTTTTTTGCTATATTTCTTATTAACATAAACGACATTAATTTTGATTAGTGTTGACAGTGTGTAATTTTTTGTTAAGAGTCTTTGGCTTATATTTCTTTTCTTTTTTCAGCTCTGAGAACGATTCGTCGATCGATAAACATTCACCATCAAAAAAATACCAGAGCCGTTCAAAAAGTCCATTAGCTATAGCGCGGAAAGAAACATCTTCTAAACGAGTAGAATCAGTTACTGAAACGAGTAAAAAACGTGATGATTCTACATCATCCACATCGTCAAGTAATTCAACAAAATCTTCTTCATCTTCAAGAAGTTCGAAAGCAAGTGGTCGTGATAAAAGTAGAAAAGCACGTGACAAATCTCCACCTCACAAACGAGCAACAAAATCGTCTCATCATAGTGATCGAGACAGAAGAGACCGCGATAGACGTTCAAAAAGTCGTGATTATTATCGTTCATCATATAATTCATCATCTCTTTCAAGAAATTATTATGATTCTAGTAAGTCAATGAATTATTCATGATTGAGAAAACTTTTTGGAAGGAAAAAGACAAGTTTTGATTAAAACGATTTTTAAAAGTAACCATCATCCTTACTGGAGATTTTTTTGAGTTTTTGAAAATTTCTTGCTATTTTCATGTAGGATAAAATTGTAATAAAAAAGTATTTATCTGTTTTAGGTCGTGATTATGATCGTGGTTACAATGGAAGTAGCAGTAGACGATACGACAGCAGTCGACGAAATGATTATGGAGACAGATACTATAATGATAGATATTACAACGACAGAAGATCAGATCGATATCGGGACAGAGATTATGATAGAGGTACATAAAATTAAAGTAAAATATTTCTGAAACGGAGTAGTTTTAGTTGACAGTTCGGTGGTTAGTCACATACTCCGGAAGTACTATGTTTGAAACTTAGCGCTGGCAGGTCATATACTACCCTTGAGCAAATTATTTGTGTTCATAAGTGTCGGATCATCCATCCAATAACATGCCTACGATATAGTAGCGTATAACATAGCTGGGTTGCCACAAAGCTAGTATGTGGTTGTAAGTGTGTATGGGAGTTGAAATAAAGACTCTGCATCGAACCTCAAGAGAGGGGAGTGTTCGTTCTTTTTTTATTAGCATTCTATCAGAAAGCTTTTCGACATCAACCATGAAATCATGATAAGTAAACTAGAGTACATACCGTTCGCGATTTTGAAAAAAACGGTTTATATTTTCCAACTTTATGGAATTATGATGTTTTCAAAAATCTGTCTGTCTATTAACATTACAATTATAGTTTTTAACATGATATATTCAACACAGTGTGATGTTAAGTAACTTGCCATTCGTATAACCTATTTAGGTCGAGATCGTGGTTATGATCGAAAACGAGACGGTTATTCAGATCGGAATGAAAAAACATCTCGACGTCAGCGTACATCATCCAGGGATCGAGCTCGTCGGACTGATTTGGAATCAAAAGGAGCAAAATCATCCACTTCGACATCAGAAAAAGTTACCGAAAAAAAACCGATATTGAGCCATTTAGAACAAATGACTGAACAAAAACCAGTTTCAGATGGCTCATCTTGTAAGTTATTTAAAATCTAACCTTTGCATATACTAGTCATTCACACTGTATCTGACACATTTTAGCATCCAGTTCCTCTTCGAGATCATCATCATCGGATTCTTCGGTTTCTAGCGGTAGATCAAGAAATCGTTCAAAACAAAATTCAGAAGCTAGAAATTTAGATGAAAATACAATTGAAAAGAAAACAGTAGAGAAGTTGTTGTCCCCACGTCATAAACCTGGTAGTCGTCATCGATTTCAGAGATCAGAGTAAGTTTGAAAAAATCCAAATGACCGAACGAATGGTGACAGATACTGTGTTGACAATCATACTCAGTTTCAACTAAGTGCCTATTTATTGTAAGAGATCGAAACATCTTCATATTATCTTTGTTTTAAAAGAAAATCAAAACTTTCTTCTTTTGAAACTTACCTAACGAAGTCTCTATTTATATTATCTTTATATTTCAAACATCTCAGGAGTTTATATTTATTGAAACGATTGGGATTGTCTAAGTTTGTTGTTATTCTTATTTAGTTCGAATGAAGAGTTCGAAACATCAAACAAGTCGTCTGATTTAACATCTCCAGCAAAATCGAAAGTTGAAACAGTGTTCGACACAAATTTTGAAACATCACAACCACGTATCGCACCATCTGAGCGAAAAATTCGTATTGAACTTTCATTCGACAAACAAACACCTCAACCGCCACCGGAAATGCTTCCGCCTACACCACCACCGTGAGTTTTTTTGTTAACTTAAGGATGCCCCTTCCCCTAATGTGGCTTTCCGTATAAATATTATCAAGCATAAACTAAAAATGATAAAGTCTTTCCCATTCTAGGACTAATTGAAAACTCAGTTGAGCATCTTTTCACTTTTGTTGCAACTCTCTAGCTATCAAGGTTCTCGAGTTTTCTACAAAACTCGCTTTTTGATATCGTTCCGTTATGACCCGTCGATGACTTGATCCAATCAACTTCAGAACTGTATTGTAAATACTAGACAATACTGCTCAGGTGCAGATTGTTTTTTCGTTCTATCATCTTTTTTTTCCCAGTTATAGCAAAAATACTGAAAAACGCCTTAAAATCCAGGTGGATTAACATTAGGATATATTTAACTAAAAATCCTACATTTTTTCAAAATAGAAGAGTAGGTACCCTTAAACTAGCGAAACGTCTTTCGTATCAGCTTTTCTTTCTCAATACAAAATTTCAATTGAAGAAGCCTTTTTAATCGGCACTATTCATTTTGTTTAATTTACTCTAGACCGCCTCCTCCCTCACCACCGCCCTCACCAGTAAATGAAGAAAGCAATCAACAAATGTTAGTGCTTCCAGATGCATCGTTTATTTCAACAACAACAGTTACTGAAACAACAACGATTACAGAGGAAGAATATATAGTCGAACGACAAGATGAAGATATGGAACTGAGTGATAATGAAAAAAGTCCTGAACAGCAACATCATCAAATCAGAGAAGAAAAAATACGTCCTACATCGTCAGATGAAGTTCAATCGGGTTCGATGTTTTCACCAAATGATAAATCGCAAAGCAAAGAAGAACAAACGGATTTACGTAAACAAAATCAGTGTAGGTTTCATGATGATAGAAAATATTTCAGTTGAAGTGTGTAGATAAATGCGCTAGTCGTACGAAAGACTGAATAACTTAAACTTTAAGACGGTTTCATATTTAAAATTGTTTCCTTCTTTTTTTTTAAACTAGCCGTTGGAAGTCTATATTCTTTGAGTGATGACAATGATGAGAGTATGGATTTGGATAATGTTCCATTACCCTCAGATGAACCGAGAAGAATGACAAATGACGAGAACAGGAAACAACAACAACGTTCAAGAACTCAAAGCTCAAATTCAAATCATTCGAATGATGAAAAAAAAGTAGAAGAAAAAATCCAACGTCGATCTAAAACTCCGTCGCCATCGCCCAAACGTGTTTTGAAACAAGAAACAAAGTTAAGACGAACTTCGAGTGGGAGTAGTGTTGAAGAACAATCAACACAACGTCGAAAACACCATCGAAAACCTGATGAAGAAGTAGAAAGGAGTGAACAAGTTCGGTTAAATGTCGACTCAAAACACAAGGAGGTACGATTTTAAAAATTACCTATTTTCGTACGTAGTATTTCAAGGATGAAACATTCTGATAACTATAATTTTGCCTGATGTAGGTTGTTGAATCTCATTGTAGTCTCTCATTTTAGACTTCATCCACTAAATCTTCGAAGCATGATGATCATTCAACATCAAATCGAAAAGATACGAAATTAATAAAAGACGTTCCATCACAACAAACGAGCACAAAATTAGATAGTCCATATCTTCCAGCTACGAAAGAACAGCAACAAGATAGATCATCTCCAAAACGTCGAAGTTCACGTTCATCGTCAGTTAGTTCGAGTTCTTCTTCGAGTTCGTCATCTTCATCTGGAAGCAGTAAGTTATTTAATGATTTTTCTTTAAATGGCGCGACGTATATATTACTTGACAATATATTTTAGGGAGTTCATCTTCATCTTCGACGGCATCAGCCAGTAGTTCAAGTTCCTCGTCGAGATCATCGTTACGAAAAAATCGGTATGGACTGCATGATTAGGATTTGAAAAATACCGTTGTAAATGTGATCAGATTAGAAGATATATTATTATATTGTCGAGAGCACTTGTAAAGGAGAGTTATCTTAAACCTGGGGCAGTTTATAACTTCTTCGTTTAAAAAATATTGATTTGTTGGTTACTGTTACAAACTTCACATTAAAATCGAAAGAAAATTTTAGAAATTAACATTCAACTGATTTTTCATACTTCACTGAATAGATATCTAAAAACTGTCTCTATAGCTCAGTTCTTTATATGTATTTTAGGAATGACCGTGATCGTCATTATCATCATCATTCATCAAAACCGAAATATTCATCTTCCTCTCGCCGTGCACAATCACCTCATTCATCTTCCTCACGTGCGATAGGAAGTTCAGGACGTCCAAGTAACAACAGTAGTAGTTCGCATCGTCAACGATCAAGTGAAAGAAACAACTATTCATCTTCACGTAGCAACAGACAAGAAGATAGTCGAAAATCTTATAAAAGTAAACATTAACACTTTCTCTCTGTTTCTCTCTCTCTCTCTCTCTCTCTCTCTCTCTGTCTCTCTCTCTATTTCTATCTCTTTTGTTTTCTACATGTTTTTCTCTTCAATAATAAGAGTGTTTGAGCTCTGCTTTTTTTTTGTCACGGTTTGTGTATGCTTTTTTCAACTATGTACACATACACACTTACACAAGCCTTAGAATAATTTCTAAACTAAACTCGGTTGTTTGTTGAATACCATTTCGCTTTTCTCTTCGTTTTGTTCGTTTGTTTGTTTTCTAATCTTGTCTTTGTACACATGAATTGTTGTTTTTCTCTTTTCCCACATATATCATATTCATTTATGATTCCTTCGTTGCTGTTTTTGTCTTATGAAATTTTTTGTTTATTTGTATTGTCATGTGAAAAAAAAGTTTGACTGATATATTCAACTCATATATGTCTTTATATATATATAAAGGAAAAAAAATCATTATTTGTTTCTTTTCTTAACAATCTTTGAGATCAAGAGAGTCGACTTTATTTGTGGTAGGGCGATATGAGACGAAAGTGTGATATGAATTTCTTTTAATAGAAATTTTTTGCAATCTACAACGAAACTTCATAGAGATTGAGAGACATCTATTTAAACATTTATATTGAAGAATAATAACTATAGTAAACTATTTTACTTATTCGGTTTACAAAATGTATGTATGGATAAAATATGGACATTATAAGAAACTAGGATTTAATATTTAGTATGAGTATAACGTATTTTTTGTATTGTTCTTCGACGCTTTGGAAGAGTCAGTTATTATCTGATTTTTGCTTCTATTTTAGATCTATTTTTATTTAAATCATGCTGTCTTGAAATAATGTATGGTGATTCTCCGATAATCGATAGTCCAACCGGTTATTCTCCACTTTCTACTAGTGATAATAAATCAACAATCACAATGTCTTCTGCTGCGAAAGATTCTCTATCGTCGGCAACTCTCTCCTCTTCTTCTCCTTCTTACAATGCTCGTCCTCGTATATTATTAACCGGTTTACGTCGTAGTGGTAAAACATCAATACAAAAAGTGATATTCAATAAAATGCAACCATTGGAAACAAAATTTTTAGAATCAACTAAACAAATGGTAACAACTGATTTTACATGTGGATCATTTATTAATTTTCAAGTTCAAGAAATACCTGGACAATTGCAACTATTCAAAGATCAAGACACATTAAATATTGAACGATTACTAAGGCAATGTAATGCTGTTGTGTATATCATAGGTAAGATAGAGTGTATATATGATAAATAAAATCACCAATATAGTAATGAAAGGGAAAATAAAAATATTTGTATTCTTACGTTTTTAGATGCTCAAGATGACTATCAAGAATCAATTCAGCGTTTAATATTGATCATTCAAAATGGTCATCGTGTTAATCCTCGAATACGTTATGAAGTATTTATTCATAAAGTCGATGGTTTGGTGGAAGATACAAAAATAGAAACACAGCGTGATATTCATAATCAAGTATGCGATCGTTTAGAAGCAACGAATAATGCAGGTGCCACTATTAACGGTGATGTTGGACAAACTTCTACTTATGTAGATTCACAAGATATTCTCATTAATTTTCATTTAACATCAATATTTGATCATAGTATATTTGAAGCATTTTCAAAAGTTGTACAAAAATTATTACCACAATTTCAATCGTTGGAAAGATGTTTAAATTTATTGTTAAGTAGTTCAAATATTGAACAAGCATTTTTATTTGATGTACAAACAAAAATTAGTATTGCCAATGATTCATCACCAACTGGTAGAATTATTTATTGATTAAAATATGAGAATAAGAAATAAAATAGTTTTGTTTTGTTTAGATATGCAAATGTATGAATTATGTTGTGATATGATTGATTTACTGTTGGATTTATCAAATATTTATGGACGTCCACCAAATGGAGAACGAGCAAGTGGTGACAGTCCTGTCGAATCTGATCTTGAAGAGACAGAATACCCAGAAGAACCACCTAATTTCTGGGATCAACACAGTATGAGTAATCGTATGAATGGTGATGATGATGATCTAGCTCAAGAAATGAATTATAATGATCATAATAGAAATTCATCACATAGTAAATGTTTATTAGTTTTTTTTCTGTTTTGCATAGTTTTAACATGTTTTTGATTTTATAGCTGGCTCTGTGAATGGTGATATTATGGGTACAACTCCCACTCAACCAACACCTACACATTCAACTCCTACCGCTAATGCTGGCGGAATAGTTCGTTATACAACCTCAGCACCTGCCTTTCCCGTGTTTGATAGTATGTCTTCGTCTATTATCAAATTAACTGGTGGACGAGCGTTATACTTAAAAGAAATCAATCGTCATTTAGCACTGATATGTATCCTTCGAGAGGAAGCATTGACTAAACAAGCTATTATTGATTATAATGTAAGACATTTGAAAAAAGCTATTATTAATATATTCAAATTAAATTCAAGAACAAATAATCAGACTTATCAAAATATTATACGACAGCAAGAACAAGATATGACTGATATTATTAATTAAACTAATGTTGTCATTAAAACCGGTGTAAGCGCATGCTTTGAAAGACGACATAGTAGAACTTTGCTGTTCTTTCATTTACTTAATTGCTGTCCCCGTCCCAATTGTGTGTTTTCTCTTCTTTCTTTTTTTCTATTTTTTACAGTGGTTACTGAGATACATCTGACATTCATAGTTTCAACGATATTTAACACAAAAATGTAATTTAGTTGGATACTCATAGAAAACATATATTTATCGGATGGAACTACGCAAGTCTTTTTTGTTTTGTTAGCGGCTTCAGGTCAAGCGTTTTTCTGTCAAGGAAATTATTCAAAAAAAAAAATTACAACATCTGATTAGATTAATAAGAGAGCTATCTTTGACTATTCTAGTATTTTAAGTAGATAATCAATTTATCGGCTTTACTATCCTCGTCTATTATTCTTTACTCAGCAAGCAAACTGTGTTTATTACAGATGATTTCTAAAGTATCAAAATAGAATCATCAAATGGAAACTGTGATGTCAGTAGTTTTTGAAGAGCTTGTGAGTAGGATTTTGCATGACAGGAATAGTATACATGGAATGGGCATCAGTGACAGTCTCAGGGACAATATTTTTGAAGCACAAAAAATAAAAGGTAATTTCTTCTCTTTTCTTTTTGAAAAAATTAAAAAAATCTTGTTTACTCAGGTTCGGTATGATTTTTTTGGTTCAACTTTCTTTTGTGATGAAATATTTTTTGTGGTCAGTGTATGTATAATGATTTTTATGTTGCTAATGTGCAAATCTATTGAAGCTGAAAATACAAAAATAATTGACTGATTAATTCATGGATTGATTTTATCTGGCATTGTTCTTCTTTTTTTTGCTCTCTATTTGTTTGTATATATGCCTTTCTCTCTCTATATATATTATTTACCATTTTATTACGATTATTATATATTTTGATGCATGATTTGTGTACGAATGTGTCTATATTTTTTGTATTGTATACAAGTTCTTAGTATACACATTTTTTTCGTTCTGTTTATTTGTGTTTTTCCTATTTTTTATTTTATGCGATTAATCATTCGCTTTTTATATTTGATGAAATAAGCAACAAAATCACAGGAAAATTTTTAACAGTGAAACTTCTTTTCTCGTTTGTTTGTTTTCTGTATACATTTTTTGTGCATCTTTTTTTCTTTTCGTTTTTATTAGAAATACAAAGTGCAAAAATAGATATGGTAAAGATAGAGACAAAAATCAATGGAAACCTATAACCATCAAATTACTTCCCTTGCCACATACCTGGTGGTCACTAAAGCCTGTCATGAAGAACTGTCATGGCATATCTAGTGGTCATAGTACTTAGGGCATACCAAAAGTAGTGGCAGTGGTATTTTTATCCCTTATAGAAAGGTTAAAGAAACTTTCTTTTTATATAGTCTGATAGAGAAAAGAATGTTCTATTTTTCTATGCTATTTGATCATA